GGGTCGTGCGCAACCGGACCTCGGTAGTACTGCAATAACGCTTTCACGTGCTCCTGCTCCTTTTGCTGCAGTTCGAGTTGAAAGGTGCTCGAGTACGACTCGAGCGTTTCGATCTTTTTCCTGTTCGTCTCCAAGATACGTAGGCGTTTGCGCTCGCTGTGCAACCGCCGCAGCTCATAGTGTGTCAACGAATCGATTGGCTTGCTTCGATTTGGCGTCTGTTGGGCAGCTTCATTTGACATGTACGAGTCGAGTGGGTTCTCTCAATAACTCAATACTGTGAAAGCTAGAAAGCGCAAACCTTCCCTGTGACTTGCCGTAAAATTGGACCTCGCTTAACGCGCAGTTTTAAGATGTGACGCGCAGCCAGCCGCAGCAGGCCCGCTCTGCGTAGAGTTTTCAGCTCGGGAAAACTAGGTTTATCAAAATATAATTTGGCGATTAACGCTCGCGAACTCAACGCCAGCGAACTCGCAACGCGCAAGTGCCAAGGTGCGACAATCTCACAAGAATAGCCCATGGCAGGTGCGAAAGCAGTTTTCTCTATTGAGTCAAATCTGTTTTGCTAACTGATCGTTTACAACAGCTGGATCATCAGCAATTGTTTCCGGCAGTCGCTAAAAACGATTCGCTTTACATATCTGAGTCAGCTGGTAAATGACAAATCGAAGGAAGGCACCGAAGAAAAAGTTCGAGCGATTATGTGCGGTCTGCACTTAGGAGCTGATGCCCACAGTCAGGAGACAGCGAGTCGGTCGAATCCACTAGCTTTCCGGGAAAAGCGCAGCCAACTCGAGTATAGTCCGCAGTTTGCATGATAGACTTGTTGACATTTCGCAGCATGCGGTCCGCGTTGAAAAGCGTTTTGTCAATAGCGTCGAGCGAGCGAATGATTTGTTCGAGCGACTCCCCTTCTGCGGCAAACACAAGAGCTTCGTGCTCGCGCCGCGGAGCCATCTCGGGAGCACCACAGCTTAACTCTTTCGCAGACTGTCTATCAGAGTAAATGTCGGATGGCTCGGCGACCTGTCGGCTGGGCCTCGGCGCGTGTTCATGACAAGCAAGCAATGAGGAACCTTGAAGCCAAGCTCTGTACTTCTGCGGAGAGTACGCCGCGGCCTGCGTCGGAAGCTCCATCCCGCTACAATACGCGCTGCCTAGCGCTGCAAAGTTTCGCGTCTGCCGCACAACGCACCTCTGCTGTTCAAAACTATCACCCTTCTCGTGCTCGTCGCACTCAGATCTGCTCGCGCCGACTCCATTGGATCTACTTTCTGAAGCGCTCAAGCGACGTAACCACCTGTATAGCGCGCTACGGTACTTTCTCGCGCTAAGTCGCACGTCAGCTCGAATTGGAATTGTAATAGGCGTCGTGCTTGTTTCAAGCACTGCCTTCATCATCGCCTTCTCGGCCGCGCCGAAGTAACGGTGTTCGCGAAGCTCGTCAAACTGCATTCGCTCGGCTGCGTTAAATTGCAACATTCGCTCGAGAATGTCGGCCACGTCTGCCGGCAGCAACCTAGAGAGCTCTTCTCGCGTCCTGCTTCGGTTGAGTGGCAAATTTCGTATCACCGACGTCACATCGCTCAGCACGACCGAGCTTAGCTCCGCGTCGCTCGGTCGTCCAGTATACGACAGCACAATGCTCAACTGCTCATAGTTGCAGTTGCCCTCGAACAGCGGAGCACCCAAGTACATTTCCGCCAGAATGCATCCGGCGGCCCAGTAATCCACAGAAAATCCGTACGTTGAGGAGCCGAGCAGCAGCTCTGGAGCGCGGTACCAGCGACTGGCCACGTAATCAGTCAACTTCTCCATTCTATCAAGCGTGTCGCTGTCGCCGACCAGCCGCGCTAGCCCGAAGTCCCCTAATTTCACGGCGCAGTTCTCATCGATTAAGATGTTTGCGGGCTTCACATCTCTGTGAATCACGCCGCGGCGGTGCAAACTTTCGATAGCGCACAGCAGCTGCGCAAAAATATACGGAATCTTCTCCTCCGCGATCTGCCGAGCCTTGCGCCGCCGCAGCAAGTCGCCGCTGCACAACTCGAGCACCAAGTAGAGATCCGTGTCGTTCGCCGCGCGAATCACTTCCTGCAGCAGCGTAACGTATTCCGAACCACGCATCGCTTCCAGCACCACGACTTCGCGGAAGGTGCGCAGCGCGTCGGTCGCGTTGACGAACGCGTTGTAAATTTTCTTAATCGCAGCGTCTTCACCCGTCGCGCGGCAGGTGGCACGCCAAACAACGCCATACGCCTAACTCTCACCGCCGGCCGCAGCCGTCACACATACCCCTTCGCCGATCTTTTCCTTAAGCTCGTAGTTTTTCAGTAATTCCCTGTCGACGGCATCGGTCATTAAAGCCTCTACACACGATTTAATCTGCAACTATTTATTTTTCATTGCGACAATGCTTGAAGTACTGCGGGGCGGATATTTCAAAACTTCGCCGTTCGAGGTCCGCGGTTTCGATCCCGAAAACAAGCAGACGTACAACAGCGTGGCGCAGGCGATCACCTACAGCAACTACGCCACCGGGATTTGTTCGCTGTTTCTGTCGTACGTCACCTGGCAGCTGTGGAGTCCTATCATTCCGTTCCTACCGAGCCTCGGACTCGCGTTCGACGAAACCGCAGTCATGTGGCTGCTCTCGTCGATCACGCTCGCTGGTGCTACCTTCCGGGTCATTTACACCTTGCTGATCGACGAAATCAGCTTTCGCGCGTTCAACATCGCAAACAACGTGCTGATCACGCTGTCTACAGCCTTCGGTCTTTGGGCCGTGCTTGGCAACAGGATAAGCGGGACTTTCTTCGGCTTGTCTTTGTTCTTCTCTTTCTTCGCCGGCGGCCAGTTTTCATTTGGCTTGCCGTTTATGTCGAACTTCTTCCCTCAGCGCACGCGCGGCAGAGCACTCGGAGCCGCAGCGGCCCTCGCCAACATCGGGATCAGTGCTGCAATGTTCAGCGCAACGTACTTGAGCGAATACCGGCCGCTATTCGGCTCTGCGCTGATCGACGCGACCGGCAAGTCGTGGGCGCTGCAAAATGTGTTTGGATTGTGGCTCTTCTGCAACTGTGTCAGCATCCTGCTCGCGGTGCTCTTCACTACGAACCTGCGCGGCAGCTCTTGCCCGACGGACTCCCTCGAAGAAGGCAAGCCGTCGGACTCTTTGAAGCTACCGTTCCAAGAGCGTATGAACGCGAAGTTGAAGTCGTACAAGAATTTGTGCGGCAACGTCATGCTGTACATTCTGCTGTTCATTCATACTCTCAGCCACGGAACTACTCTGGGCATCAGCGCAATGCTTCCGCTGATTTGCAAAGAGGTTTATCCGCACCAGCACGCGAGCGTCATTCTATGGATCCCGCCGTTTGCAGGCGCTCTCACTCGATCGCTCGGCGGCTACTTGGCCGACAAGGTCGGCAAAGGCATAACTCTGACCTGCGCGTTCGTCGCCAAAGTGCTCACGATCTTTGCGCTGATCTTCGTCGTCCCGCCGCCGGCGTCACTCTCGCCGGGCGAAGGCGGCTTGAACTTCGCCTTGTTCGTGATGCTCACCACGCTAATGATCGGCTTGTGCGGCATCGTCAACGGTGCGATTGTGCCTGTAGTGCCTTACGTCTACGCCGTAATGAACACCAAGACGGATGAGGATAACACGCAACTCGTCGAACCAGTCTACTCTGACAAAGCTATCAAAGAGTCTGGTACGGTGATTGGGTTGATCAGCGCGCTCTGCGTGTACGGAGGCGTGATCATTTTGCAGATGATCGAGAGAAGTCTCAGCATTGCGCACAGTCTGGTGCCGGCGTTCTCATTTTTAGGCGTGGTTTACTGCTTCGGCGCCTGGTGCAGCTACAGCCAGTTCACAAAGCAGGATGCGCGCTTCCGCTGTTAGAGTTCAACATCGATGCGAAAAACAGAACTCCTCGCACACTTCGCTCGACTGCGCTGTAGAAACGCAGTCTTTCGAGCAAGAGAACACGTAGAGCGCTGAGAACTTAAAGCGACTCACAATTTTTTCGAATCTCGGATTCGCAGCTGCGACGGCTTCGCAAATGGACCCCCACACTTGGAGTTCAAAAATTCTCTGCGAATTGCAAAACTGACAGCGCGGCGGGCCTCGCGTCTTCATCACGATGTCGTATGAAGAGTCGCTTTCGTCTGGCGCGGCAATGTACACAGGTTTGCCGCCCAATTGGTAGCGGAACACGTGGCCGTCGTTTTTTGATATTTCCAGGTTGAAGTCAGCTGAGAGTTTATTCGACCTGTACTGCGTTTCTTCGAACTCATCGCAGTCGCCATTCAGATCTTTAAGCAGAGTAACGGCGTCCGCGCTTTGTTCAGCGTCGCCTTCCTCTTCAAACACGTCGAGTCTGACGCACGGAAGGTCGCATTTTCCGAACGCTTTATCTGTCGCGACGCCTTTGCTGCCAGCAATGCTCGCGGGCGGCTGCGCTTCGCCTTGCTCTAATGCGTGCGCAACTCCGTGCGAAGGCGCGGCGTCGTGGAGCGACAAGTGCATGAGGCTCGAGTAAATGTCGTCGATAGAATCGGTCGGGCGCACGTCTAATGCGGCGACGTACGGCTTGTTGTCTATGGCGACCGCGACGTCGGCGCCACTCGTTTGCACGTCGGCCTTAACGCGCTTGAGAAGACGGAACACGCGGAACTCCGCGCGCTCGGCGCAGTCGCTCAGCAGGTTGGTGCAGCAGAGCACGTAGAGGATTCGCTCGTGCGTCAACGAGTGGGTGGTATCGAGCTGCAAGAAAAGGCTAAGCGACTGCCCGCAGCGCGGGCAGGTCGCGGCGTCAGGCGTGCAGGCGCTGGCCCACGTGGTCTAAACGGTCTCCCCTCGCACTTACGGCCTGTCCTCCGAAGCGCGAAAGAGTTGGAGAGTACGGCTTTTTTTGCCGCAAGTTTTCGGCCACATATCCGAGGAACATGCCTCCAGCGGAATAACAAAAAGCATTTTCGCTGAAATTCACTGAAATAGGGGCAGTCAATGAACACGCCCGCAGATTTCGACTGCTCGCTGCTCGCTACGCCGCTGCCGCCTCGCACTGCCACGGCGCGGCGGCTTGGTGCGAGTGAGTGTGTGTTCGAACGCAGCGATGCGCTTGCAAAATAGTTTTTATCAATTGGAAAAGCACGCGATGAGTTTGGTTCACACGTTTGAGCTGCTATCGCAGTTGCGCCAGAGTTTGGAGAGTTTGCAACAGTCTAAGCGGCTGGTTTTTGTTTTGATAGGCGCGCCCGGGTGTGGAAAGGGCACACACGCGCAGTGGCTGTCGAAAGAGTTCAACATGCTGCACTTGTCGACCGGCGAGGCGCTGCGGCAGGAAATTGCGAAGGGCACGCCGCTCGGCGTGCGGCTGAAGGCTAGCATGGAGGCCGGCCAGCTAGTCAGCGAAGAGGCGATCTGCAACATCGTGTCAAACTTCATCGAGCAGAACCGCGGCCCGCAGGGGTACATATTCGACGGGTTCCCGCGAAGCATCAGGCAGGCGGAAACGCTCGAGAAGGCGTTGGCGAAGCACGGCGAACGCGTCAGCGCGGTGCTGTTCTTCAGCGCGAACGACCAGACAATCATGAGCCGCCTCTCGGGCCGCCGCATCCACTTGCCGAGCGGACGGACCTACCACGTGACCGGAAAACCGCCGAAGGTGCCCGGCAAGGACGACGTCACGGGCGAAGACCTGGTGCAGCGTTCGGACGACTGCGCGGAGGCGATCAAGCAGCGGCTGGAAACGTACAAGCGCGAGACGCAGCCGCTGATCAATTTCTACCGCGAACGAAAACTGCTGTTGACGTTGAACGGCAACGAAGAGTATCCAACCGTGCACCGCGACATCAAGGAGCTGTACGCTCTGGCGAAAACGATGCAGCGCGTGGAACATCCAGACAACTAGTGCACTCGCGCCGCAGCGCGGGCGGCGTGAGCAGCTCGTAAGCTCGCAAACGCGGCAATCAATTTTTTAAAAGTCTTTCGAATGGCAAAAACTGCTGTTCGCCGCCGCGCAGCTTCATCGACGGCTGACCAAAATTCCAGCCGAATATTAGTAATAGATAGTTAATGCATATAGCGGCGAAATTACGCGAGCCGCTGGATGAGAGACGAGTTGCGTGGTGAACAAGCTATCGGAGTCTAGCGCGCCGGCTGCGAAGCAGGCGGCGGCTTGCGCGCATCACATCGTGGTCGACAGCCTCTGCGCGGACTGCGGCGAGCTCGTCTTCCGCCACTCGCCCGCTGCGAGCGCGGACGCGGCGGACGCGGCGCGCAAGACCGTAGCGTTTATGGACGAGCTGGACATCAGCATCAGCCACAGCTACGCGGAGGAACTCGCGAGCCGCACGATTGAGGCGGCGCTAACCTCGAACAAGCTGTTCCTCGTGCTCGACCTCGACCACACGCTGCTACACGCGTCTTCCATCTCTTTGCTGGAGCAGAGCTGCATCGCGCAGAAGGCGACGATGCAGGCCGCGATGAACGACGTCCAGCACGACTTTCCGCGCTACGAGATCGACTTCGCGAACCTCAACGCGCACCTCGAGGTGGACGGCGTCAAGGCGATGTACTGGCCCAACTTCAGCGCGGACGCGCGCGTGGAGCGCGTGATCCGCACGCTCGAGACGCAAGTGTTCCACGCAGAGCTGCAGATCGACACGGGCGAGGGTTCGCTCGCGATCAGTACGTTCTACAAGCTGCGACCCGGGCTGTTCCGTTTTCTGCGCGAAGTATCGAAAAAGTTCGAGCTGGTGCTCTTCACTGCCGGCGAGACGAAGCACGCGGAAGCAGCGCTGCAGCTGATCGACCCAGAGCGCCGCTTCTTCAGCGCGGTGCTCACGCGCACAAACCTCAACGCGCAGGGCATCAAGCAGCTCAGCGAGGTGCTTTACCACAGTCACGGGCTCGCGGCCGTCGTCGACGACAGCGTGGAAGCGTGGAATGCGAGCGAGGCGGTGCTGATCTGCCAGCCGTACGTGTTCTTCGCCGCGCACAACCACTTTTTGTACGACAATGACCAGTTCCACTACGACTTCCGGCACCGCTCCGAGCGGCACTGCATCGTCAGCTACCAGCCCAACGTCTTGTGCAACCTGCTGAACTTGCGCGCTACGCCGGTCAGCGAACTGAACGCGGTCTCGGCGGAAGTGATCCGGTTGCTGACCCACGCCAAGTCCGCGCACCACAGCACTATCCGCGAGCCTTGCGCGCTGGCGGACAGCGACGTGCAGCTGCAGTGCTGCTACCACGTCTTGTGCATTGCGCACACCATTTTTTTCAGCGCTGCGAAGCTCTGCGCGGAGGCTGCCTCCGCCGCGGACGGCGAGGTGTGCGCCCCGTCTATTTCGCGCATTCTGCTCTCGATGGCGCGCAAGGTGCTCGCGGACTGCCACTTCTACGTGCCGTTCCGGCGGCGCGTGGGCTTCTCCGCGAGCACGCTCGCGCGGCTGGTCGAACGCTTCGGGGGCAGCTACACCAGCGACGCGGCCGACCCGCGCGTCACACACGTGCTCGAGCTGGTGCCGCTGACCGCGCAGGAACGCGCGCGGCTCGGGGAATTGCCGCGTGTTTCGCCCGACTGGGTGCTGCTCTGCGCCGCGACCTATTACCGGCTCGACGCGTCGGCGCTGCAAGAGCTGAACTACCGCTGCATCTTCGACGTGCTGAGCGTCGTCGAGTACGCGTCGGACGCGGGCGCCGACTGCTGGCCCGCGTACCGCGGGCTCGACCTCGTCTGGGCCGACGCACCTGCGCCGCAGCCCGGCGCCGCGCCGAAGCAGCTCGACTCGCCGGGCGCGCGACCCGCCGGCGCACCCGCCGACGCGAAACGCCGCTGCACGCAGCGGCGCGCCGCGGACAGCAAGGTGCGCGGCGACCGGCTGATCCGCATAGACTACTCGGTCTGGATGCTGCGGCACCGCTACCAACTCGAGGAAGAACTCGAGTTTTTGCTCGAAGACCCGTTGCGGCTGCACGCGCAGCTGCTGCGCCGCGTCGAAGCGGCTGTGGAGGACAGCATCTTCGAGGGCTTCGATGCGTGAGCAACGCTAAATACTATTCAAAGTGCAGACATAAAAATGGCGCGTCGCTACGGCGCCAGCCGCTTCGGGTCGCGCGGGAACATCGAGGTTTTGCGGATGTTGTTCAGTCCGAGGAACAACATCACCACGCGCTCGAGCCCGACGCCGCAGCCGCCGTGCATGTAGCTGCCGTACTGGAACGCCTCAATGTAGCTGCGGATCGTCTGCGGGTTGATGCCCGCGCGCACCGCTGCCGCCTCGAGCATCGCGCTGTCGTGGATGCGCTGCGCGCCGCTCAAAATTTCTTCGCCGCGCATGAAGAAGTCGTAGCTGTGCGAGAACACGGGGTCTTCCGGCTTCGGCATCGAGTAGAACGCGCGCACCGCCGTCGGGTACTCGTACATCGCATAGAAGTCCGTGCCGAACTTTTGCTTGACCAGCGCGCCGAGCTCCTTCTCCTGTGTGGTGTTAATGTCGAACTCGCTGATATCCGCAGGAATCTCGTGGCCCGCTGCGCGCAGCATCTCGCAGCCCTCCGCGAAGGTGAACTCGAGGAATTTGGTGGCGCTGCCCGCAGCTGGCTTGTACTGAAACGGCTCGCGTGGGTAGAGCTTGAAGATCGTCGCGATCTCACGCGCGCAGCGCGCGTTCAGCCCTTCGAAGATGTGGAAGAACAGGGCAGAGATCAGACGACGCACCTCGGAGTAGTGGTTCTGAAACTCCATCTCGAGGTCCAGCCCGACGAACTCGCACATGTGCCGGTGCGTGTTCGAGTTTTCGGCGCGGAACACGGGCGCGATCTCGTAGACGCGCCCGAGGTCGCCGCAGATCGCCATCTGCTTGTACAGCTGCGGCGACTGCGCGAGACACGCCTCGCTCCCAAAGTAGCTGAGCTTGAACACGTTCGAGCCGCCCTCGCTCGTGCCGCCGATGATCTTCGGCGAGTGGATCTCGGTGAAGCCGTTCGCGTTCAAAAACTCGCGGAACAGTTGACACGTTTCCGAAGAGATGCGGCAGACGGCCTGCATCGCAAGCGTGCGCAAGTCCAACACGCGCGCGTCGAGCCGCGTGTCTTGGCTGACCACCGGGCCCTCGGCGTCCGTCTCCGGGCGGTTCGCGTCTTTCAGCACGAACGGCAGCGGCTTCACGCGGCGCGAAAAGCAAAAGAGCTTCTGCACCGAGAGCTCGAACTGCACGGTCGCGGCTTCGATCTGGCGGTCCGCCTTCACCACCGAGCAGTGTAGGTCGACGATGCTCTCGAGCGGCACCTGCTTCACGAACTCGATCACGGGCAGCAACGCCTCGTCGCTGCGCGCGCTGATCACCGCCTGCACGGTGTCCAGCTTGTGCCGCAGCACCAGAAACGCCAGCTTTTTCCCCTGGAAGCGCGCGTCCTGCAGCCGCAGCCGGAACCAGAAGCTGCGTCCGACGTCCGCGTCGCACAGCACCTCGATGCACTTGAATTCGCGCACGAATCCACGCGGCTGCGGAAAGAAACTGATGTCTCCAAAACTCTCCGCGTCTAGGTCGCGCGCCTGCGACGCCGTCTCGTTGTTGTCAACGTTTTTCTGCATGTTGGCGGATACAGCTCTTCTCGATTGCTCTCTTGCGAATATGATAAAAATTTAATGCCGCTCGCCAATTTAAATAGGCGCGCGCCAGCGCGGTTCGTCAAAAAGCGATCGGGCACTCGGGTCCTCGTGCTGCCTGAGTTCGCGACGACGTTCGTCGGCTGCTTTCTCGCGGGCGGCAGTTCGGTCGGAACGCTGCGCGACGAGGGCGCGGCGCACTGCGTAGAGCACCTCGTGTTCCGCGGCCCGCGCAGCGGCGGGCTCGCGGAAATCAACCGCCGCTTCGCAGCCGCGGGCGGCGCGCTGAGCGCGTTCACGACCAAAGACTTCACCGCGTTCGCAATTGAGAGCTTGCCAGAGCACGCGGGCGCGCTCGCGGACTGCCTCGCGCGCATCCTGCGCGACCCCGCGCTCACCCCGGAGGCGCTGCGCGCGGAACGGCCGAACATTCTGGCGGAGGCCGCAGCCGTCGCGCAGATCCCCGAAGAGCTTGCCGTCGAGCAACTCTACGCTGCGCTGTTCGCGAGCCACTCGCTGCACAGCAGGCCCATCATCGGCAGCAGCGCCGCGGTCGCTCGGCTCGACGCCGCGACGCTGCAAAGCTTCTACGCTCGCAACTACACGAAACGCAACCTACGCGTCGTAGTGCTCGGCGTGCCAGAGCCAGAGGCGCTGCGCATCGCGACGGCGCTCGAGCACGCGCTCGGCAACGCGGCCGCGCGCGCGCAACCGCCCGCGCCGCGCGCCGCGGCCTGCGCGCAAGCCGCGGCGAAGAACGTCCGGCTGCTCGCGCAGCCCACAAGCTTCAGGCCGCAAAGCGCGCAGCTCGGCTGGCTGCTCGGCAGCGTCTCCGGCGAGCCGTTCACGCCGCCGAGCCGCGTGCCGTTCCGCGCCACGCACCCTACACTAAGCCTCTCGCCAGCCGCGCTTCCGCAGTTCGCGCTGCTGCCCTCGCGGCACGGCAGCGTCGCACTCATTGCCGCGCCCGCCTCGCACGGGTCGCGCGCCGCGCGCCTCGACTCTGCCACGGAATTCCGCGCGCTGACCGTCGCAGGCCGCGTCGCGCTCGACGAAGCCACGTTTTTGCAGCGCAAGCGCGCGCAGCTGCTCGAGCGCCGGCTGCTTGCGCAGCACAGCACCGCGTTCGGGCTGCTCGCCGGCGAGCGGCTAGCGACCACCGGCCAGCCAACGACCCCCGCGCAGTTCGCGGCGGAGCTCGACCACTTCTCCTTCGCGGACGCGCTTCGCGAGTTCGACGCCGCGTTCGCGCCGCCGCGGCGCTACTGCAGGTAGAACAGCTGCAGCTGCGACTTGTTCGCGAACTCCCACTTCAGCTTGATGTCGAGGTTGCGCCGGTTGATGCAGTTGCGCTTGATCGCAATCATGCAGTTGAGCTGATCGCCGACGTGCACCGGCAGGTAGTCCTCGAAGTAAAGCACTGCGTGCTTCCAGTGCGTGACCTTCGAAGAAGGCGACGTCGAAAGCACCAGCGGCAGGTGCCCCGGGAAACTGATGTTGAACCACACAACTAGCGCGTGGCAGTACTGCTTCTTCGTAAACACCAAGTGAAAGCGGCTCGCAAAGTCGAGCTCTTCGTTCTTCACCGTCTTCAGGTCGAAGTAGCCGATGCAAAACGTCGAACTCACGATGCTCTGCGGATCAATTGCGTCTATCACCACCTCCTGCAACACCGTCTGCTTGATCGGCGAAAAGTCGAAGCCGTACACGTTGTCCCAGAACGAGAAGCGGTTGTAGCGATACTCGCCGTCTTCGACGCCGGCCGCGTAGAGCGCGGCTTTGTCGGGGAACATGTAGCCGTCAGACTTCAGCCACTTGTCACGCGCAAACAACACGGACTCCAGCATGTTTTCGTACAGCAGCATGTAGCCCATCCACTCGCTCACGAGAATGTCCACCTTCTCGACAGGCAACTCGGCGTCCTCGATTTTCGCCTTCACTACCGTGATGCGGTCGCCGAGCTTGTTGTGCTGCACAATGCGCTCGCACAGCAGCGCGCTGTTGCTGTACTCGACCGCGTACACGTGCCGCGCGCCGGCCTTCGCCGCGAGCAGAGACAGAATCCCGGTGCCCGCGCCGACGTCGAGCACCACCGCGTCTTTGAACAAGTGCTTGTTCTCCATCACGGCCTGGATGTACGTCTGCGTGCGCGTCTTGTCTTTCAACATCTCTTCGTGAATGCTGACGTGCGAGTACGAGTTGAAGTAGTAGTCGTGCTTCGGATTTTGCACGATCGTCTGTTCCCAGTCCTCGCTCATGAACGCCTGCAGTTCGCGCTGCAGGTCGTCGCCGTCGACGTTTAGCCGTTTTTGATCCATCTGCCGGAGAAGCGCTGTGAAAGCTCGCGAGAGAGCGCGATTAAGTGCGGAGCAAAATTAAATTAATTGGGCGCCGCAGTTCGCGGAGGTGCGGCGAACCTCTGCGACGATGCGTTGCGTCAGCGCAGCGGGTGGGGAATTCGCGTCGAGCACGTGCCAGGAGGCGTCGCCCACCGCCGCGCGCAGCCGCGCATACGCCGCGAGCACCCGCTCCAACGTCTGCTCGGTCTCGAACAACTCCGGGCCGCTCTGAATGCGTCGCAGCGCCTCGCGCGCCGAGATGTCGAAGTAGAACACCGCGTCCGGCCGAGCCAAGTCGCTCTCGAGCGCCAGACACTGCTCCGGCGCGCGCTCGGTCGTCGCGACGCAGTACGCGATGCCGCTGTACGCGTAGCGGTCGCAGAGCAGCGTCGCGCCGCGGCTCAGCGCGTCGCGGATCTGCGGAAGCAACTCGCGGCGGTTCGCCGCGAACAGCAAGTACAGCGCAAACGGGTCGAGCTGCGTCTCGTGTTTCAACGTCTTGTCAATGATCTGCCCAATGGGCGAACTGCGGTGCGGAAAGCGCAACACTTCGACCTGTTCGCCGCTGCGCGCAAGTTCCGCCGCGACTGCTTCGACTTGCGTCGACTTTCCGCAGCCGTCAATGCCCTCGAAAACCACGAGTTTGCCTCGCATCGCGCAAACTAAATTCAATAAAATTCAATTACTGCGTCCGCAGCGGGTACTCCTTTATAGTTTCGAACAGCGAGCGCGCCTCCAGAATCGTCGAGTGAAACGACTTCACAATGCTTTTCGGCGACTTCGCCTCAAACAGCTGCACTTGCCCGTCCGCCAAGCGCACCAGCTTCGACCTGCGGAACACCGCGCGCAGCCGGTCGACCGTGACGCTCAGAATCGAAGCCAGTCGCTCCAGACTGATGCACGAGTACGCGCGCACCGTCTCGATCACGGTCTCCAGCAGCTGGAAGTCGCAGAGCGTTCGCTTCCAGACGCGGAGCGAGATGGTCTCCCACTCGGGCTCCGGCGCAAAGAACATCGGCTGCATTTTGCTGACCGACGCGCTGCTCAGTTCGCTTTCGTGCTTCACCTGCAGAAAACAGTGGTTCACCTGGTACAGCTTGCGCTGGAAAAACTCGAGATGCTTCTGCGCCACCGAGTAAACGCACGAGTTGCCGCGCGCCGTCGCCGAGACCGAGATCTTGCGCTCAGCGATGCGCGTCTTCAGGTCCACCAGCGCGTCCAACTGATTCGTGTGGATCGCGCCGACCGCGTACACGTACGCCGCCGCGCTCGACAAGTCGCGGTCCAGCAAAACCGACGCACTGACCAGCTGTTCGCAGTGCCACACACTTTCTTCAAACTCTCTACGGCACAGCAGGCTGTAGCTCAGCACCAGCTTTGCGACTCTGGCCAACGTCGCGCGCGCCACACACTCGCTGTTCGTCGACTCTGCAAGGACTGTCAGCAGCCTCTCAAACTCCTCCAGTTCCATAACTTCCGAGACCAACTCTTTCTGCGACTCGGTAAAGCGCGAGTTTTGCAGTTTCTGGCGGATACGCTGGTTGTACGCCAAATAGTCCACCCAATCGAAGAGCGTCTCACGAAACCACGAGCACGTCAGTTTCGTGTGCACGCTGTCCGGCTCAAACGCCGGAACGCTCCACGCGCCGCACAGCGCGCGAATTAGCCGCGAGCGCAGCACCAAGCTGCGAATGCAGATGTCCTGATTCGTTAGCCGCACCGACGAGTCTATCAGTAGCAGCAACAGGTCGTAGTTTGCAGGCGCATTCGGCTGCGCCTTCAGCAGAGACTCCAGTTTGCTGATACATGGCACTTCATAACAGTTGTCTCCAACTCCGAGCCTCCCTTGTAAGCGATTATATCTAAGCGCATCGTAAAACTCTTCGCAAATTCGCATCAATTGGAGGCACGGAAAATAGCAAAATTCAATTAACTAGCTAGACTATTTGTCCGCCCCCTTTTTCCGCAAATAATTACACACGCTACGCCGCAACCTGACTCTGCCGCGCGCCCAACAGTTTCGCACGACTTGCCATGCGCGAGCGAAAGCAGCAACTCGCCCACGTGGCCGCCGAATTGTAAGCTGCGCGCGCCCGCACACAGCGCCTTCTACTCGCAGCGACCACTGTCCAATGTCTTCGTCAGAATGCAATCTGAAAACGGTACGTTCGTGCAGCAGCTCCGCAGAATGGGCGGTCTGGTTCTTTCTCGAGAGCGGACTCTACGCCGACCAGTTCGTTCGGCTGACGATTCGCTTTCCAACGGATTACCCCGCCGCGCAGCCCGAGCTGCAGTTCGTCGACTTCGATCTCGACAGCATCTCCGGCAGTCATGGGCTCATCCAACTCGACGAATTGCTCGGCACGCAGTGGGACGTGCACACTTCCTCAACCCTCTCCGTGCTCGCGCTAGTGAAGGTTCGCCTTCTGCTCGCAACGCTGCAGCGCGGCCCGCACTACGTGTCTGCCGCCACGCACGCAGCGAACCTGGCTCGCTGCGCAAAGTACATGCGGTCGTTCGAAAGCGCACACAATCCCGAACTCGACCGCCTCGTCACCAACTTCGTCGAGTCCATCTGCTTGCACAGCGACGCCGAAAAGCTCGGCTTCAGCACCAGCAGCTTCAACAAACGCTTCAACCTGTTTCTCGAAGACTTTCACTCGTTCGCGAAGATCCAAAAAAGTGCGCTGCAATAAAGCGCCACAAAGCGCGCAGTCAATGTTTCTGGTTTCTTAGCGCACACCTGAGTTTTCTGAACAACGTGTACTTCGCGGGCTGCCGCGCTTTGAACACGCGGAAAAACGTCGCTCCGGGCTGCTCCGGTTCGCCTTCCGCAAACACCTCGTCCAGCAGCAGCAACAGTTCGTAGCTGCTCAATATCTGCGGCAGCATCAAACGGAACGGTTTGCGCAGATGCGGCTCTTCGCGCAAGATCATCAACAATCCCGCAAATAGCGGTGCGGGCGCCGCGTCCGCGTTCAGCTTGAGCGCCAAACCTCGACTCAACGTGCAATCCGCGTGCGGGACGCGCACGATCGGCATTCTCGTCAGACGGAATGCGACTGCGAACCGCCAGGAGATCACCGCCCACATAGAGTTCACGCGCGTTGCGTTCTGCGACACGCAACACTGCAGCACCGTCAGCGCGCGGAGAGGGTGAGGCACTCGCGCCTCGATCACATTCACGAAGTCGTCCAAGTCAGCGTTGAACGGCAACAAAACGCAGGTGATCAAGCAATTCGCAACGCAGGCCGCGACCATCTTCACGGCTTCGGGCCGCTCGCTCAACAGCCATGCTGCCTGCTGCGCGTAAGCAACTCCGCCCCAGGGCGGCGAAACGACTCCGATGTCGTACGCTGCTGCGAACCGCAGCTTCTGTAGCTGGCAGGCCGACTTCGGCAACTCGAGGACGCTCTCGCGCTGCTCCAGCTGCAGCGAGCTCGCTTCGTAGTCGAACTCGTCCGGCGTCACAAAGCGCACCTCACGCCGCAACCCGTACACCGACAAGTTGTGCCGCAGCATATCTAGCTTCCTGCGAAAGTCAACGGCCGTGAAGTGGGCGTCAAACACCGTCGCGAACGGAATGAAATCGCCTCCGCAACCTGCACCCATCATCAAAATTTTCGCTTGCCCGTCGCAGGCTTCGCCGCGGGCAGCGAGCAGCTGCTGTAGCACGAGCGCGAGGCTCACTGCCAAGTTTTCTTCGGTAGCTTCGAACCAGGCCGACCCGTCCAACTGCACGCCCTGGTCGTAAAGCGAGAACAAATGATACCGCTTGTTGAACCAGCGCAGCGAAGGACAGTTCTGCGAAAAAGTTACTGCATAGTGCGCATCTTTTGGCTGCGCAACGCTCGAACATTGTTTGCTGCTTGCTCTCTTGCGCTGGCAGAGAGGCTGGAAGCGCGCAGCTGAGGCTTGACGCGCACTGTACTTCTTCTGCTGGCGCGGCTGAGCGCGTCTGCGTGCCGCAAAGGCGAGGTCAAGCAAAGCGTGCCGCTCGCGCTGAGCGACTGAGATGGTTTTGCGAGCAAACGCGCCCGCCTCGCGCAGATGCGCTCGCACGCACGCGCTCCGCATCGCGAGTCTGTGAACAATTGGATTTTCCACACACGCGGCCGGCGCCTCCTGCAAAGGCGCCGCAGTCTCCAGAGGCGCGCAGACCTCGTTGCGCGTCGCAGCAGCGTCCGTTTCCGCAGCTGTTTCGGCTGCGCAGTCCAGATCCTGCACCGAAGCCTCCGAGTCGGAGGATATCTCGGTGATGCTGCTGTTTGCTACGACGCCATCTTCGTCATGAAATTCGTCGCTCGCGACGGACACTTGCGCCTCTTGCCGCAGCAGGTCCGCAAAGTAGGAGAACAGATGGTCACGCAAGCCTCCGCGCAACTGTGCGTGCGGCGGCAGCAAGAATCGGTGTAAGTTGGGCACCAGTGCGTGCGCCAGTGGCGCCAGCTTCTTGGATCGCGCAGACTTTAGCTGGCAGAGCAGATCGAAGGCGATCAACTCTCCGCGCGCAAACAACAAGGTGGTGCGACGGCCCTGCGGCGTCGCGAAAAACAGTTCGCTCATGTTTTTTGGGTTACTTCGCCAAGAGGTAAAGCTCGACTCGCGAAATACCAAAAGAGCTCTCGAACGGCGCGTTGATTTCCAGAGTAGTGCCAACTCCAATTAGCAAATTTTTTGGCGCGTTATTAACGAGAAATTCGACGTCTTCCGCGAAGTTGCCCTCCACCACCGCGTTCCCGCACACGTTCACGCCCTTAGCGGGCGTCGCGAACGATTTGGTCCACACGTGCAGCAAGTTGCTGTCCCCGTAGGCGTTCGTGCGCACAAACGCCGTCTCGCCGTTCCACTGGTCGATAATGTGCAGCCGCAGTCGCACGCGCACAAGGCTGTGCTCGGGCACTTCAAAGCCGAAGAGCACCTCGCCGTTGCCGTACACGCCGTAGCCGCCGAGCATCCGGACGCCTGCGCACTCTGACAACCTAAACAGCGAGTTATCCTTGATGAACGCTGCGGCTTTCGTGTCGGCAAAGTCCGCCACTTCGTACAGGTACCACTGCGGCTGATCTTTGACGACGAGGCCGCGCTGGAAGTGCGCTGCACCCGAGACTCGCAGCTCGTTTACGGTCATGCCGTCCGTTTTGAAGCTTGCGACGTTGCGCGAGCCGTGACTCAGCCGCAGTGCTTCGCCGTCCAACTGCAACTTGTAATCGGAGTTCTGATCGCTATGGACCCACTGCACCGCCGGCCGGTTCTCGCTCGGATCCATGATGCGCACGACGCAGGTAGTCAGAGAATCCGTCTGCAGAAACCCGACCGCGGCCGCGACGAACGCGAGGGCCGAAAGCATGCGTATAAGTTCTCAAAATTAATTCTATGCTAGACTAAAAATTTGCGCGCTTCTTCTGGTACTCGAACTCGCCGAACTTCTGTTTCGCGCCCGCGGCGTGCGCCTTGAAGCGACTCGCGGGCTGTCGATAGTTCTCACGGCGGCGAGTCGCGTTCGGGTCAGCAGGCGCCGCGACGCTCGGCGCCTCGCCCTCGGCAAAGCCGTCAATGTCGCCGATCAACATCGCCTCTGCGAAGTTGTCCTCTTGCAGCATGTCGACGTTGATGAGGTCGACCGGGCTGCGCGGCACCGCCGCTTCCGGCGCGACGGCAAACGGCACCTCGCCGCCAAGCTCCGCGCCGCGGTCTCCGTCCGCGCCGCACTCCTCCGCAAACGAGGAGGACGGAACGCGGCTGCTGACCGTTGTCGTGTTGCACGAACTTTCCGCAGTCGTTTGCGCACTGAAGCCCTTCTTCTGCAGCACCGGCACGCTCGGGGCAGACGCGCGCTCCTTCGCGTCGCCGCACTCGAGCACGGGTTTGACCTCCAAGTCTGACAGGTAGGAGACGAGCTCCGGCAGCTTCATGTGCTCCGCGCTTTCAAAGTGTAAGCCTTTGGCGCCGTGCGGCGAGTCGGCGCGCAAGCGGCCAAGCAGCGTGCGCGTGCTAGAGCTCAGTTCGGAGCGGTTCTTGATGAGCGCTTGGCAGAGCGCGTTCACGTTCGCTTTCGCGCCGCTGAGCAGCTTCGGTTCCGCAGACACTTGGTGCAGAAACTGCAGCGCGGCACGCTTGGCGAGCAACAAATCCAGCCGCGCCACAACTTTGCACGTGCGCGAGACAAACACGCTGAGCGCGGCGCAGATCAGCTCCGCACGGCCGGCGCAAATCTCCTCGCCCGACTCGAGGTACATAAAATCGCGGTTAGCGCAATGCGTCTGCCCGCGGCACACGCTGCGGAGCAGCGCGACGAAGTCCAGCACCAGCTGTCCGAGCAGCGCGGCCTCGTCCGGCGTGGCGCACGGCAGCGCCGCGCACACGTTGTCAAACAGCAGCAGCGCCACGTGCATCAACGACGGCTTGCCAGCGACTTGCTCGCAACGCGCGGAGCGCGAGTGCAGCAAGAATTCGCGGAAGAAGTGGTGCGCAACGTTAGCGTCTTCGACGCTCATCATCGCGCGGTGCACGACCAGCTGCCCAATGACGAAGTGCAGCTCGAGCGTCGTCGCGGCGAGCAGCTGGCGTAGCGCGCCGCGCGCGCTAGCGTGCAGCTGCAACAGTTCCGCAGCCGTAGCGGCGCGCGCGGCGTCAGCGGCATCCGCGGCCTGCCGAGCCTCCAGCAGTTCCGGGCAGCTCTTCAAGTGCCACGGCTCCGCCAAAAAGAAAAAGGCCGCGAGTTCAGCCGCTTCCGCGGTCGGCAGCCGCACGCGCAGCACGTCCAGCACGCCCGGCGGAAAGACGACCGAGGTCTCCGCTTCGTCATTCGCGTCGCCTTTCGCGTCGCCTTTCGCGTCGCCTTCCGCGTCGCCTTTCGCGTCGCCTTTCGCGCCGCCTTTCGCGCCGCCAAAACGCAGCGGCGCGAAGGCCGCGACCACGCGTAGCGCCAGCGGCAGCGGCGCGTTTTGCAGCAAGTTCTCAATCTGCGCGCGCCCGCAACAGGCGGCGAGCTGCGCACGCTTCGCAGCGTGCGCAAAGGCGTGCAGCTTCACAAACAAGCAGAGCTGCAGCAGGGAGCTGCAGACCGCGCTGCTGGACGCGAGCCGCTCCTTTTCGGGCGAACAGTGCAGCGTCGCGCGGTTGTACAGTTGCAGCAGCCCGCAGACCAGTTTGAAGGCACTGCCGTCTTCCACGAGGCTCAAAAATAACCGCTCCCGGTTTACGGCGAGCGTCGCCGGCGCGACTGCCTCATGAGACGCGGCGAAAACCTGGTCGTACAGCGCCGGCAGCCCGTTCACGGCGCGCGCCTGCGCCTCGGTGATCTCCGAGAAGGCGAAGAGCTTCACGGCGCCGAGCTCCGCGACGCACAGCTCGACCACGCTCGGGAACAGGTACAAGTCGCTTGCGGCTTTGGCAAAGGACTCGCTCAGCACCAAAACCACGTCGCTGTAGTCGTAAAAAATGAACTTCTTCAGAAGCAAGCACAAGCAGTAAGCGAGGTTTCTCGAGAGCACGCCGAGACTCGTGCGCACTGCGTCGCAGTCCGCCTTCAACGCCTGCAGCAGCTCCGCAGCCAAGAAGTGCGAGAACAACGTCATTGAAAAGCGCGACGCGAAGTGCAAGTTGTGCACGAGCGCGTGCACCCAGACTTGGTCCGCGAAGCGGCACTGCTCGAGCACCGCGTAGCAGAACCAGAGCGGCTGCTGGCTCAGGAAGCGCGTGATCCCGAAGTCCTGCGCCTCGAGCGGCGCGTCCGCG